CCTCACCGCACAGGCTCCATAGGAAATGAATGGAGAGCGAGCGACGTCGCCTCCCGTGTGTCGAGCCCTTTACAGTAAATATGCCCCTGGGTGCATTTTTTTGGTCCTAGGACTGTTTTTTAAGAAGTACTTACCCAAAGTTGAGTAAAAAAAAACTTTAAAAAGTGTATTTTGCATAATAGGTCCCCTTTAATACCCCTTGATCCTCAACGCATCAATGTCAGCACACAAAGTAGTGCTGGACAATAATTCAATATCGATCTGTATCATGATAGAAAACATTTCAGTAACAGTGACATAACTTAAAAAATGATCTAGATAACAGTGTGTCCATCATCCTGAACATGTATGTCCCATCAGGACAAGAAGGCTCCTCTTTACCCAGCTTCAGTGTAGAAAACATTTGATGAAACTGTTGAGACACCAGATGACCAGATCCATCATTCCTAGTTTTGGATGATATGGTGAAGGAGGCTCCACTGCAGCAACGCAGGGGAGATGAGGAGTCACAACAACATTTCATTTCCTCTGGGATTAATAAAGTATTGTGAATTGAATGAAAGCCTGTGGGGATGCTGTGACAACTCTAGCTTCAACTTCCACTACCCATTCTACGATGGATGGGTCTTCTACAGATTAGCACTTTTCTCTCACATCACATCACTTTCTCTCTGATAAAACCAGTGTTATCAATCCAGCCTGATGTTCCACTGGGAAGTTTTCTTTGTTTTCCACATTAAAACCCTCTTAACCGCATTTATCATAACCAACCTTGCAGGAGCTGAGGCTCATTTCATAAAAGTCAGGTTTCTAAATTCAGGATATGAGCTGTAATCTGAGGTTGAACGAGCCTTCAACTTGTAAACAGCTATAATCAGTTGTTCTAACACCAAGCTGCGCTCAATCAGAGCGGCTCATTCAAGCAGCTGTAAATGGTTTAGGATTAATGCACGTTCACGGTTTGTTTACTGGGGGGGAGACAGGGGTGGGAGGTGGAGGTGGGCGTGGCCTGTAGCAGAGAGGGAGGGGGCATATTATTTTATAGACTATTTTAAAGGTGAAGCTGAGGTTAAGTCTTTTTTTATTTTTTTATTTTTCATGGATAATCTGATAAATAAATAAAATAAATATATTTACTCTGTAATATTT